GGTGATGACGACGGTGATGATGATGGTGATGGTGATGATGGTGATGACAATGGTGATGATGGTGGTGATGGTGATGATGGTGATGATGGTGATGACAATGGTGATGACGATGGTGATGATGATGGTGATGGTGATGATGATGGCAGCCTGCACTAGTGCACTATGTACCAGGCACTGAGCTAAACAGTTGATGACTATTATCTCATTTGATCCTCACAACCCTGGAGTTGTGCTGTTATTATCCCCATTTTACAGTTGAGGAAGCTGAGACAGGCAGAGATTGAGTGACCTGCCCAGGGTCACACAGCTAGTACGTGTCTGAGGCTGGATTTGAACTCAGGCCTTTCTGATTCCAAGCCCAGAGCTCTATTACACTGAGTCACTTTATACTGTCCTTTATACATCCCCTTCTCAACATGCTTCACAAATGTTTAAGTCCAATCTAAATGTGAGTGGTTTAGATGATCAATAATCAATAATTTACTGAGTACTGACTATGTGCCAGGCACTGTGCTAGTAATTAGGAAGATTCATAAAACACACCCCCTATCTGAAGGAGCTTACGTTCATCCAGAGAGACAAATACATATGGACGTAGGGATAGTCCTCCCTCTGGGGTCACCCCCCTAAATCAAATGCAGAATGACAACCTCCCTGGTTCAAGGTATTCGGTAAGTCTGCAGCTCATGAGCCCCCATCAGTGGGTTTGCCTTCATACTCAGCTGAGCGGCACAGCTGGTACAAAGCATTTAGTGAAATGGACTAAGATCAGCTTTCCCAATCAAGCAGGCTGCCTCTACCTCGTGCAAATACACAGAACACTAGTGAGAGGAGCAGGCATACCCAATGAGAAGGGGGTGAATTCCAGGCATGGGGAACAGCCAATATAAAGGCATAGAGATAGGAGATGGAGAGTGGTGTGTGAGGAACAGGAACTCTAGAGAGAGGGGAAGAAGGAAGGGAGAGAGAAGGGAGACAGAAGGATGAGAAAAGGGAATTGGATAGACAACTAAGCCACAGACCAAAGGGTAGGCCGGAATGAAAACAAAAGCCCAGCAACCTCAGAGAAAGTCACTGCTGTGAAAAGGACCAGAGCCACTTCCAAGAGGCCACTCTCACTTCCAGACATAACCCAGAACATCTTACCTTCCCTCTAAGCGGAAAGGAGTCAGGTTAAAAGAACAGCCCCAAATGGTTACTTTTCCAGCCTAGGAGACCAAAGGCTGTAGCAGCTCTTGGCGGTGGTACCTGAACTGACCCCTTCAAGAGAGGCAGAGGTGAAGAGGGAAGGCATTCCAGTGGTTCATACAGCCTGGGCTAAAGTGCAGAGGTGGGAAACCAAATGATGCATATCGGGAACAGCAAACGGGCCAGGCTGATTGGAAAGTTCAGGCCTAGGAATGGGAATAACATTAATTAAGCCTGCAAAAGTGGGCTGGAGCCAGATCATAAAGAGCTTTTAATGCTGACTAAGGGCTGAAAAAAAAAGACAAAAGCAACAATGTCTTTTCAGAGACAAACAATAAAGCATGACTGTATCCTCACAGAAGAAAAGTGGTGGACAACTAGGGCGGAGTGTCACATACACAGTCCGATACGGTTACACCGTCCAGTGTTTTCTACCTGCTTTTCCTTTGTTACAAAGAAGTGTTCAGTTTGGAGGGGAAGTAGGAATCCCTTGGTATTTCCATAAATGACTATGATGTAAAAAATATATACATATATGTGTGTATGTAGGTATACGTATGTACATATGTGTGTGTGTGTGTGTGTGTGTGTGTGTGTGAAGCTTTTTTAAAAGGCTCACCAGACCTGCAAACAAAAACTGTCCACTTTGCAACCTTCCCGCCCAGGCCACCTATGACTCTAAAAAGATCCCGGGGGAGTGAGGACGTCCCCAGCCCCACCACCCAATTTGTCTCCTTTCTCCAGACTAAGAACCCCAGCACGTTCATCACCGGCTAAGCTCCTCGGGGCTCCCTATCAGGGAGAGGACTGCCCCGTCTTTGTTTTCAAACCCGCCCCTATTCTGCACTCCACTGACCTCATCGAAAGACGTAGCTAGGATCCAACATAATCACTGCCTTGCCCTGCCCCTCAACTCAACTGATTCAATCATTAGTCATTTACTAATTATTTACATCGATGAATAATTAACAACAACTCTCCACACTGACGCCAACGACATGTCTGTCCGTTACAGAAATGTGCGTTGTTACTGTCATCATTATCGTCTTCATTTTTCTTAGAGCGCTAAGAGACCATAGTAGATAAAGCATTAGGTTGGAGTCAGGAAGCCTGAAGTTCTGATTACTCTCTGAAACCTCCTCCCTGGTGGACCACAGACACAGCCCTTAACCCCTCAGCAGTTATTAGGTCAAGAAAGTACAGTGGAAAGAGAAGGGAGTTAGCGGATCTGGGTTCAAATCCCACCGTGGAGGCTTACAACCAGCGTGACCCGGGGCAGGCTGCTTGATGTGCCCGGCCTCAGTTTCCTCCTCTGTAAAAGGAAGAAGCAAGACTAGACTGCCTTCTGAGGTCTCTTTCAGCTCCAGATGTGACACTAATATCCTCCTCTGTAAAATGGGGATTTAAAGTAGTTCCTACTTTATTGGGTCACTGGAAGCACCAAATGAGATAATGTTTGTAAAGCACTTTGTACTTAAGGCATCCTAGAAACGTCAGCTATTATTATTATATAACTACTACAGAGAGTTATATATGTATGTATGTATATATATCAATCAACATATATCAATCTATCTATGTGTGTATGTATGCATATAAAAGCTTTAAATTTACAAGGCACTTTACAAATATGATCTCATTTGACCCTTACAACAATCCTAGCAGGTAGGTGCTATTATGATCTCCATTTTACAGATGAGCAAACTGAGCAAACTGAGGCAGACAGAAGTTACACAACTTGCCTAGAGTCACACAGGTAGGAAGTGTCTGAAGCTGGATTTGAATTCAGGTCTTCCTGACCCCACGTCTTATTTGCTCTCTGCATTGTGCCACCTAATTGTCTATGCTATAATGTCCAAAACAGTAAGATCATTTTTAATCATACTGATACTACTACTAGATTAGATTAGAATATGATTATTGTTAGATGCATCTTTACAAAATGTTTCCTCCTATCTCATCTACTATTCGTTGCCCGGTTGGTGCTTTGGAACTATCCGATGGGTGAGCCTGCACAAAATGCCCAATGACGACGCCGTAGGGCGCCACCTCCGAAACTGACCTAATCCAGTGTTCCACATCCAAAGTTAAGACACCCTTCGAGGCTCCCAGGGTATCTGGTGAGCCCCCTGAGACGTCCTACACATAAAATGGCCTTAACAGAAATCTGGGGTCGTCGCTGACACGATTTTGGAATCTGCACAGTTTGTCCTTCATTTCTAGACGTCTCTTGAAAAGAGCAAGAGAAAATGCACACACACATATACACACAAAAGAAGAAAAAGAAAGAACAGTCATCGTGCAAGGCAAAGTGAAAGGAACAGAAGAAAGGTGTACTTGGCCCCTTTCTCAAAGAGAAGTTTGGGCCAATTGTTACTTAGGAGGAAAGTCTGGGCTGATGACAACAGCCCATGCCCGGTTCCCACCTACCTGAGCCCAGTTTCGAAACTCCACCTGACAGCCCCCCTCACGGCTCCAGATCGTCTTCCAATACTAAGGTCTGTGGGAGCCCAGAGGCTGGCACAGAAAGGCCCCTCCAATATCTCAGCACCTGGTCCACAGCGTGGGCTCCATCCACGCAGGACGGGAGGCAGGCGCTGGCTAATTCAGCCACGGCTGTCATGCATCACATTGCCCTGAACTGAATTAAGCAGCTATTATTACTCAACAGAGTGACATAATATATCACAAGCGCTCCCATCATGTCAGTGGGCAATGCTGTTAATGGGCCCATTAGAATTCTCCCACTGGCAGTAAAATGACTCCAATTTCAACGAAAATACAAGATTCATCATTCACACACTCACAATTCATTCACGGCGGCTGACAAGAGCGCCAGCCTACGGAGAGGCGTGCTCAAAGCTGCTGACGTCCTACCGGCTAGCCAAACCCTTTAATCATTCTGGCCCCATCAAGTGACAAGACGCCTTCGATCGCTTTCTTAACCAGCTATGACCCAAGATGCCAACAGTGCACCCGCCGGTACCCAGAGGCGCTGGACTCACCTTGGGCTCTGGCTTGGGCCGCACGTCTTCGCTTCCAGCGGAGTCAGGTAAGGCTGCCCACATGATGCTGGTGCTGGAGGAGGGCCACAAGCCCACCGCCCCGTTTCTCAGCTGATCTGTGGAATGCGACTTGGGGCCGCGCCATGCCAGGTTTTCTGAAATAAAGACCTAGACTGATGTCAGGCATCTTCCACAGTCAACACTGAAAGAGTCCCAGATTTCCACTTCATGCTATCAGCACCTCGCATGGGCTCGACTTCACGTGTGGTGGCATCACAAGGGACCTGTTTTAAGTGGGATACCAATTGTACGTTCTCACGCTCTCTGTCCTCATTCGTGTACTGGTAACCTCACAAGTTACACATCTTCAGGTTAGACACTGATCTTTCTACACATCCTCACAAAATAGTTTTATCATCATCAAATCAAATATATGTCGGCTTAAATTTGGGGTCATTTTTACCAGATACCAGAATGAAAACAAGTTCTTCAGAATTGTTTTAAATGCAATTTATACATCAACTTGTGAATTTATCTGGATAAGGTTTTTGAAAGTAAAACCAAATCCTCTCCTACCAACAGGGGATAGCCAGAGTTCCTGAAAGCCAACTTGATGAGAACTCTGGCCTCAGAGTGAAGACGGCCCACGTTCAAATCCACCTCTGACACGGGACAGTCTCTGTGTTCCTGGGGAAGTCATTCAGTGATAAGGATTTCCAGAGAGAGGAAGTTTATTCATTATTCACTGAGTTAACTCAATACACATTTATTAAGCGCCTACTATGTGCCAGACACTCTGCTAAGTGCTGGGGACACAAAAATCAGGAATTTTTTTATGAGTAGCTCTCCGTGTGGCCCAGCAACTCCCAGGGGGCTCCAAGAAATTTCAAGAGATCCGAAAGATCAAAACTTCTTTTCATATTTTTTTGTATTTTCATGACAATACTAAGACGTTTTGAGTTTCTAACGTGGCAAATAGCATAAACAAGAGCTATCTGATGAAGAGATCTTCAATAATTTTTAAGATTGGAAAGGGGTCCCGAGACCAAAACACTGGAGACCTGTTGGACCATAGCATTGAGAGCACAGGTCTGGTCCAGTCCTTTCCTTCCTTCCCTCTCCTCTCCTCCCCTCCTCCACCCCCACCCCACCCTAGTGTTGAGGACTAAAGATGGCGGGGGTCCTGCTAGTCTGAACCTGCTGGGATTATCATGCCCAATCTCAGGCAGCAGGTCCTAGAGAGGTCTTGGATAAGTTGGAGAGGATCCAAAGGTTCCGAGTTCTAGTCATCTCAAAAAATAAAGATGTTAACCAGACTTGGGCAGCACGGGGGGGAGCGATTGTAGCCTTCATGTATCTCTAGGGCTGGAGCTCGATCCAAGGCTTTCTGGAGCATCTACTACCTACCTGGAAGCCTGCCAGGCAATGAGAATCCCAACTAAAAGACGAAACCGTGCCTGCTCTCAAGGAGCCACGTTCTAAAGCCATACGGAAGGATACGTGTCCCCTGTGGGTCCAACTGGCAGAACCAAGAATGGCGGGGGAAGGGGCTGTCACAAAGAAGCCAGTTTAGGCCTGACGGCCACCATGGTGGCAGCCCCCTCCTTGGAGGTCTTCACACACCAGCTGGACGCCCCGGCTGCTGAAGAGGGGATGGGGGGGGCACTGGTGCTCCTTCCAACTTTGAGATGCTGTAAAACTCTTGTCTAGTATTAGGCGAAGTACCGTGTCCCCGTGACATTATCATACGCGCCTTTTTTATGAAGCATCACTTCTGAACTGACTTGCTAATGCCCCCTCGCCCCTCCCCACCCAAAGCATCAGGAAACACTTCCAAGGTCTTCACCGCTCCATTCCAACATTAAGAATAATGGGGAAGGGGAGGGTTTGGGTTTGACTCTTCCCACAAGAGGAGCAGGGGAGCAGACCTGGAAGTCAGCGAGACCAGCCTCAAATCCCACCTTGGACACACACCAACTGTGTGACCCTGGGCAAGTGCCCCTCCCAGAGCCCAAGACAACTCATCACGTAAGCTGCAGGGGCTGGTCTGGAACTCCCTCAACTAACGAATCACAGGTCTGACAGAAACATAATATGACACGCATGTCATATACATACTATTTCTCAGAAGTGGCATGTCACAAATGAATGAAGTATTTATTAAGCACTTACAACCTGTGAACCAAGCCACTCCCTGCCTCAGGAGGCCCACCCTCTAATACGGAGAGACAGCACACCGAAGTGGTCTGAGCTGCAAGTCAGAGGGAAGGGTCCTTAAGGTACAGACGAGCTTCGGGATGACCTTTGGACCCTTCCTTTTTTTTGCCCAACTCAACAAATATTAAGATCCTTGGATCATGGATTCAGAGGCAGAAGGAATTTCTGAGATGATAAAGTCAAAGTCTGCCATGTTATGATGAGGAAATCGAGGCCCAGAGAGTCAGTGACTCCTGCAGGGTCGCCCGAGGAGCACGTGGCTAAGCTGAGATTCTAATAGGGTTCCAGGCTTCGGGGCCCTCTGGGTAGACCCTCTGCATTTCCAGTTCTTACCTGGGGGTTCTACAGCTTCTTGTGACCCCACAATCCTTGGACTGTGGAAGCAGCTTTCTCTGGGAGTTTTTCCAAAGTACCTCCTCCTCCAGGAAGACTTCTCTGATCCTGGACATAATGACCGTGCCCCCTTTGACCCTCAAACGTTGTCCATACCTCTCTATGTATGTGTCCTATTTCTGGCAGGGACTGGACCTTCGATTTTATTGGAAACCATACCCACTTCAGAAGATCTCTACGTACTTGGCACGTTAAGAGCCTTAGAGTTTGACCTGAGGCACTGCAGAAGTGACTTACCTGGGCTGCCCTGGCTAGGATGAGGCCAAAGCCGGACCTTAGGCCCCTTAGGACCTTAGCATTCTGGAGTTAGAAGGGATCTCAGAAGCCATCTAGCCCACCACCTCATTTTACAGATGAGGAAACTGAGGCCCAGGCAGGCCCACAGGGTAACAGACATAGCTGGCCCAACTCTCTCAGTTTACAAATGAGGCCCTACTATTCTCCTTAGACAGTTCATTCCACTTTGGGATACTATTAATTGACAATTTTTTTTGCTGACATCAAGCCCAAATATATCTCAATTTGTTTTTTCTCTCCAAATCATGCTCCGTGTGCAACAATAATGATTATTTTGTTTTTTGGTTTGTTTTTTTTCGAGGCCTCCCCATCTCACCCAGGCTGAATTTCAGTACAGGGGCCACTTGAGGGTCTGACCCCACTGACTGGAGTGGGGAAGCTTCCCCCTGCTCTATTTCTGACCGAGCCCCACCCCGGCTCCCAGGGGCTCCCCATAGGCCCCACCAGCCTCAGCCTCCACAACGTGCAATCACAGGCACCACACCCAGCTTCACTAGAAATGCAAAGATTTAGGGCTGGAAGGGACCTCACATGAGGTAGGCCAACCTCCTTCATCTTACAGATAAGGAAACTGAGTCCCAGGGAGGTAAAAATAACTGGCCCATGGTCAAACAGGCGTAAATGATGCAGCCAGGATCTGAAGTGAATTGAATTAAAGACCTTTCCATCTGTCCTGGGCTAACATGTTCATCCAGGTTAATTTAATTTTAATGATAACTATTTAATTCAATTTAATTTGACAAGCTTTTATTAATGTGCCAAGCACTGTGCCAGAGACAAAAGATAAAAATGAAAAAATGAAAATCATCAGGAGTTTAAAATCTATTACGAGGAGTGGGGGAGACACAGGAGAGAAGGCTAAAAATCAATGTTCTATCTGAGAATCAGTAAGTTGGATAAAAGCTGTCATCGTTTATTATTTTAAAGGAACATGCAAACAATTAAATTCTACTGAAGCAAACAGGAAATCAGCAGTGGTGTGAACGGGCTGGGGGAAAGTCAGGGGTGAAAACCCCCAACCTGCCAGGAAACAAAGAAAGGGCTAAAAAGTGAGTCCGCAGGGGGGCTTCCATCGTTCCACCGGCAACTGAAATGGGGGCGGGGAACCCAAGCCCGAGTCATCACCCCAAGGAAGGAGACAGAAACACAAGTCAAGTCAACCAACATTTATTAAGCGCCTCCTATTTACAAGGCACTGAACCCAGTGCTGGGAATACAAAGGGGAATCAGTCACACTGCGGTGCCCGGACACCGACTTGGATGCGATCAGTTACTCCCGGCAGAAGTCTGCACAGATGGGCTTTTGGTGCCCCTCCATCAACAGAGGCACAGTGTATGCTCCACACAGAGGATTCAAGCACGTACATCGATGATGCTTTGGAGACCGTCGGCTCAAACCAAATAGCGCCAAACATCCCACGAGTAATTTCTGCGCTTGGGAGCCTTGGGTTCTAACGTAAAAACACCAGCAAGCAGGTCGCCCCACGGAGACGGCTGGGGACGGATGAGATGGAGCCCCAAGAGCATCAAGGGAACGTGGCTGAAGAGCCGTCTTCTGGCAGAGAAGCCCCTGACCTGGGGTGGGTGAGGGTCGCCCCCTCCTCGGACAGCCAGAGGGCCAGCTCTGAGGACGATTCCAGTGGCCTCTCCCACCCCATGACCACCGGAAAGGCCAGCAGGAAGGGTGGCCTTCAGCGGGAGGGAGGCCTGTGAAGGAAGGGAAGGTCTCCACAGGCAGAGAAGAAGGCAGATACGGGGCAGGGAAGAGTCAGCATGAACAAAGCACAGACATGAGAGGGGTTGGCATGAGGATGGAGGGTGACAAGGACTCCCAACTTGATTGTCACGTGAGAATTTGTGAGGGGGAGAAGCGAGACAGAGACGGCAAGAAGAAGCCGGCCTGGAGTGAAAGGACAGAGAACGAGGACTTTAAATAACATCGAGGGAGAATGCTGCAGTACCCGCGGATCCGACGGACAGAAGCCCAGCCCAGCGGCCCAGCTCTGACCTCACAAGGGCCTGAACTGAAAGAGTGAAGGAGGGGCAGAGACTGGCCCTGAAGGGTGACGGGGAAGGAACGGCCAGAGACGACCCCGAGGATCTGAGGGGGTGGCTGGAAGGACAAGAGGCCAGCGCCATGAACACAAACTGGGAAGTCGGGAAAGGAGGCGGGTCAGGGCAAGGGGCAGAGGAGAAAGACGCTGCTGTCGTCAGGGCCGCTGGGCACGTTGGTGCCGCCCTGCAAGCG